CACTATAAACTCCATGAAATATGGGCCACTGTGTACTGTCTTACTAATCAATGTATAGCTACCAATACCTAGAATGAAAAACACTCCATATCCTTTTAAACTTAGGATTAATTGGTGAATAAGAAAAGAATGAGAAACAAAAAGGCATATGCTAAAGCACCATCAAGAAAAGTACTAGGTGAGAATCCCCACAGAAAACATGATGACCATGTAGAAAAAGGAAAGAAAAAAATAAAGAGCTTATTAGGGCGTTATATTGATCATATGCTATTCAGTTTTATGAAGACTACTGGTTTTATTAAAGAATACAATAGACTTAGGACTTTACTCTTAATAAAATACATGCAGAAAATTAATTTTTTAAGTTTTAAATTTGTAATTTAAGCTGTATGCTTTCTAATTCAGTTTCAATAAATTTGGAACTTTAGAACTGCAATTCTTCCAAATTAATAGTTCAAGTATCAAAAGAATTCTGAATGGACACGAAAGAGATGCTGAAGACAAAAACAGAAAGCTATTTAGAAGAAATTTTATAAATAACATTAGAAACTGAAAACACATTCATGGAATAAAATCCTATTCTTTATTTAATAATCATGAAACTGCCTTTGGAAGGTCTGTTAAAACAGCTTTTGTACTTCAAAGGTTTAGACTAACTTTTATGGAATATGGCTGATAATATTTAAAGTCCTTCTATATTAACAGTTCATGTGAAATAACAGTATCCAAATAAATGCTATATTTTAGAAACTACATAACATTTCTTGTTAGTCAAATGGGTCTTAGAATTGCTTTCTTTAGAGCTTTGTAATGTTGTGAACAACCAATAAAAATTWAAAAAAAAAGAAAAATAAAATAAAAAAAAAGAATTGCTTTCTTTACTATCTTTAAGCATAAAAAAATTGAGGACTCTAATACTAGTGATTCTAACACTAGATATTCTTTATATTATCTAATATATATGAAAGGCATACTATAGTTGCCTGTTTCACAAGACAAAGGTGGTCCTAGAATTTGTGACCAGAGCCTAAATCTGATGCTGGAAGCCACATCTATAACAAACCAGAAGCAGGTTGAAGCTGATCATTTAATTAAATTACAGTGGCCAGAAGCCACAAGAAACCAGCAGAGCAAGAAACCTCCATCATCAGCAGCTCACAGGAAAACTATGAGCCTTGCTACAGATGCCAGTGGCAAGGCTGCACACAGAGAAGGACAGCTGTCTCCTCTTCTCAAAAGGCCCACTCTTTCTCAGAAAGGACTGATTGCAAATGATACAGAAGAGAGATCTGGATGCAGAAAGAAACTTGAAAATTTTACTCTAACCAATTTTAGGCTTTCATTAAATTCAAAGTTTTTCCTATGACACAATAAGAGCACCATCACTTGGTAAAAACAAGAATAAGATGAACCTGTGTGCCTTGATATTTCAAATATTTTGCCTTTTAAAACATATATTATTCAAGATAAAGTAGACTTTATCTTGAATTTCATGGATCATGATTCACAGTAAGAAATATCTTTTACATCATAACCCAATAGACACACCGTGTGTGTGTGTGTGTGTGTGTGTGTGTGAAATAAAAAAAAGTTCATGAAAGTTACCCATACTACATGTCAATAAATATGCTATTTCTACTTTATGTCAGATTTTGTTTTGCTTTGGTTTTTGTTTTTCTTGTTTTCACATTACTGGAGTTGACCTCATGGGTACCATACCACTGAGCTATATCACCAGTCTTTATTATTTTATTTTATTTTGAGACAAGTCTCCCTAAGCTGCCCCGGCTGGCCTCATACTTGCAATCTTCCTGCCTCCCAATTTAATGGGATTGCACTGAGTGACACCATTCTCACTTACCTCTTCTTTTTAATACGGCTATCCACCACAGATTGATTTCAGGGCAGGTCATTGGTCAGAACCCAGTAAAACATATTTGAAAAATAGTGCACCATGATCAAGTGGGGTTCATTCCAGGGATGCAAGGTTGGTTCAATGTACAGAAATCAATAAACATAATCCATCACATCAGTAGATTTAAAGATAAGAATCATATGATTATAACAATTGATTCAGAGAAAGCATCTGACAAAATACAGCACTCTTTTATGTTCAAAACACTAGAAAAACAAAGGATAGTAGGAACATACCTCAACATTGTAAAAGCAATCTATGYTAAACCCAAGGCCAACATCATCCTAAATGGAGAAAAATTGGAAGCATTCCCTCCAAAAATAGGAACAAGACAGGGATGCCCTCTTTTACCACTTTTATTCAATACAGTCTTTGAAACTCTAGCCAGAACAATTAGACAAATTAATAGGATACAAACGGTACAAGAAAAACTCAAACTATTTGCTGATGACATGATTCCACATTTGGAGGATCCAAAAAAAAACCTCACCACAAAACTTCTAGAATTAATAAATGAATTCAGCAAAGTAGCAGGACATAAAATCAAATGCATTTCTATATACCAATGATGAATCTTCTGAAAGAGAAATTAGGAAAACTACCCCATTCACAGTAGCCTCAAAAAAAAAAAAAAAAAACACTTGGGAATCAATCTATCAAAAGAAGTGAAAGACTTTTACAATGAAAACTACAGAACATTAAAGAAAGAAATTGAAGAAGACCTTAGAAGTTGGAAAGATCTCCCATGCTCTTAGATAGGCAGAATCATTATTGTCAAAATGCCCATATTACCCAAAGCGCTGAACAGAGTCAATGTGATTCCAATTAAAATTCCAACATCATTCCTTGTAGAAGCAGAAAAAACAATCATGAAATTCATTTGGAAAAATAAGAGACCCAGAATAGCCAAAAGAATCCTTAGCAAGAAAAGTGAAGCAGGAAGCATCACAACACCACACCTTAAACTATACTGCAAAGCATGGTATTGGCACCAAAGCAGACATGTAGAACAATGGTATAGAACAGAAGACACAGAGACAAACTTATATGAATACAGTTATCTCATACTAGGCAAAGGCACCAAAAACATGCCTTGGAGAAAAGACAGCCTCTTCAACAAATAGTGCTGGGAGAACTGGAAATCCATATGCAGCAAAATGAAACTAAACACCCTATCTCTTACCTGCRCAAAACTCAACTCAAAGTGGATCAAGAACCCAGGTATTAGACCAGAAACCCTATGCCTAATACAAGAAACAGTAGATCCTAAATCCTCATCATATCGGATTAGGCCCCAACTTCCTTAACAAGACTCCTAAAGCACAAGAAATAAAATCAAGAAACAATAAATGGGATGGATTCAAACTAAAAAGCTTCTTCTTGGTAAAAGAAATAAAGAGGTGAAGAGAGAGTCCACATTTTGGGAGCAAATTTTTGCCTCATGTATGTCACAGCATTATCTCCAGGATATATAAAGAACTCAAAAAACTTAACACTAAAAAAAAAAAATAATAAATGGGCCAAGCAGCCGAACAGACACTTCTCAGAAGAAATACAATCGATGAACAAATATATGAAAAAAATGTTCAACATCTCCAGTAATTAGAGAAATGCAAATGAAAACTACTCTAAGATTTCATCTCACCCTAGTCGGAATGGCAGTTAACAAGAATACAAGCAACAATAAGTGTTGACGAAGATTTGAGGAAAAAGGCACACTCTTAGATTGCTGGTAGAATTGCAAATTGGTGTAACCAATCTGGAAAGCAGTGTGGAGATTCCTCAGAAAACTGGGAATGGAACCACCATTTGACCCAGTTATCCCACTCCTCAATTTATACCCTAAAGACTTCAAAACAGCATACTATAGTAACACAGCCACATCAATGTTCATAGCAGCTCAATTCACAGCTAAACTATGGAAGCAACTTAGATGCCCTTTAATAGATGAATGGATTTAGAAACTGTGGTGTATACAAAACAGAATAAAAATTATGGCATTTGCAGGAAAATGGATGGAGTTGGAGAATATCATGCTAAGCAAAGAAAGCCAATCCAGAAAACCAAAGGTGGCAGGAAAGATGGTAGAATGAGATGGACATCATTACCATAGGTACATATTCGACTGCACTTTTGGTGCGACTCTACTTTGTGTACAACCAGAGAAATAACAAGTTGTGCTGTAATTGTGAACAATGAATTGAAATGCATTCTGTTATGTGTAACAAATTAGAATATATATATTTTAAATGCACACAGGAACCCCATTCCTGTTCATTCTCAGGAGCTTTCCAAATGATTCCTAGACACACCTAGAAGGTGGTGGGCTGACCAGGAGAGTGACGGGCACGTGCACCCATTGGGGGGGCCTTCCTGGCCTGAGAGCCGCGCCACCCGGGAGCGCAAGCTGCATCTAGGGGCCGTCAGAGTCACGCAGCTCACCGGGTGCGGAAAGCCCTGGCACCGGCGCCCTGCTGGGAGCGCCTCCCCTCGCCCTTCACTGCGCGCAGCAGTAGTCGAGACCCTGCGTAAGGCCGCGGTCGGATTCGGGGCACAGCCCGCGGGGCGAAGGTGCCGGGCCGGCTGGGGACGCTGCCAAACGCGACCCTGGAGCCATTCTTCTGGCTTCCCTGCACTCACCATGGCTACAGGATCTCAGGACGAAAACCGGCCGTGGCGACAGGAACACAGCATCACCGAGGCCGCCAACCGGTTACTCCGGCGACAGAGCCCCGCCCATCCGGGCCCCGCGCTAGAAGCACCGAGACCTCAGTTCCGCCCAAGCAGCGGGTGGGCCTGCCCCTTCAGGTGTCGCCAGGGCAACGAACGCGCCTTCTTCTTTCCTCCGTCCGCACTTCCGTTCGATTGACAGGTGACCCGGAAGTTCAAGCTAGTAAGCGGCTAGGCTCCATATATTGCCATGGTTTACTTTTAAATATGCTCCTGTGCACTTCTCGCTTACAGAGGTGTTACACTGTATTTTCAATGTCTCTCGAATTTAAGCGCACCACAGAGTATTGTCTTTCTCTTTGGAAAAGCCTTCCGGAAACGAAACCCTGAGTAACCGGAAGTGGCGGACGGGGCGCCCCGGAGTACGGAAGGCCCGGGTCGCGTCAGGTGGGAGGGGAGCCGGTCGAGCGAGCCGGTGACGCGGAGCCCACGGCCTGTGACGTGGGGCCGCCCGGAGTCGGGAAAGAAGGGTCTCGGCGCAAGTTCCTGAGCCTGCTTAGGTAACTATGGGAGGGCGCGGGGTTCTCGGTCGCGGGAGGAACTGGGGTCGACCTCCCGGGCCGGCCTGCGGTTGCGGGTCTCCTGCGTCCAGAGGCGGCCGGCGAGAACGAGCCCGCCCAGTTGGGAAGCCGGTCAGGGGCCTCCGCGCTGCTTGGCGTCGAGTCCCGCCGGTGACCTGGCGTGGCCACGCCGGCTGTCATCGAGCCTGCAGTCCGCCGCGTTGAGGGCCCCGCGAGCCCAGGGTAGTCCCGGGGCCTGTGCGGACGTGGCTGGAGGCGCGGTGTGCATCTTTGCCCTTAGGAACTGCACCATTTTGACTGTCTTACCAAAAAGGGGCAAACTGAATTATCTTGAGTAGTACTTTCGTTGCTTCTTAAACGTGTAAACGGATGCGCTTTGTGTCTCCTGGGGGAATAAGTACTTTAAAATTCCTGTTGTCCTATCAGTGGTGTAAAAGCTCTTGCAGTAACTTAAGCGTTTCCAAAATTCAAGACACACCTCTGGCAGTTTAGACTGTACTGGTGAGGATGGTAAAACGGCATCTACAAGTAAACTATGCCGAATTTTTTTATCACCTGTGAGAAGGGAATGTGAAGAATATTTCCCTAAGTGCATGAGTTCTAAAAGCAGAAGTAATTAAAATACACATTTTTAACTACAGGCACTTATCAACTGTGTTTATATGATATTAACTCTCTTCTGTGTATACGTTTTTAGGTTTTTTTCCCAGTGGAAGTCTTGAAATACATTTTCATTAAAGAAAAAAATATGACTACTCTTAAAAGTTTAGAAACTAAAGGTAAGTGTCCTTACTTTGATGATACCTGTTTTTAAGACGTGAAATTTATGATATGAAGGAATGTTTCAGCCAGTTGAGTAAATCTCATAGATTCCTTGGGAATCATTTCTGTTTCAGATCTCTTCATGTTTAATTATTAATTCAACTTTTATATTTCAGTACTTCAGATAAACCTTAACATCATTAGGTGGTATTTGTTGGATGATTACTTACTTTTAAAAGTTTAGTGTAACAAAACTGACTTGAACAATGTATTACCTATCCACTAGAAGATCAGGATTTAAATAAACAAAAATAAAGTATACCAGCAAGGCTACACTCTGAGTAGGCATTAGGAAAAGATCTGGGTTCCTCTCCTTGGGGTTTGCTGACACTCTTTGGTGCTCCTTGGCTTTTCCGTCCTCTGTTTACGTGGTGTTCTCTACGTGTGCATTTTTCTGTATCCAACTTTCCCCTTTTATAAGGGCAGCAGTCATATTGGATAAGTGACCCACCCTAATCCTGTATGATTTCATCTTAACTATATTTGCATGATCCTTTTTCCAAATAAGGCCTCATTCTGAGGTACTGAGGTTAGGACTTCAGCATAAGTATTTGGGGGATACAGTTCTACCTATAGCACTTGCCGTGTTCATTAGTCAGCTTGTAGTCCTGCTTTGCTTGTAATATTCTTAATCATTCCCTACCTTTTTTAATATTTTTATTTTGCTTATTTATTTTTATGTGGTGCTGAGGATCAAACCCAGTGCCTCACATRTGCAAGGCAAGCGCACTGCCACTGAGCCACAAACTCGGCCCCATTCCCTACCTTTTGAAATTCTTTCTTTYCATGACTTCCAAGCTACCACAGTGTTGTCAGTCTGCTCTTTACTGCCCAACACAGTAACCACATGTGACTATTTGAATTTAAATTAATATTTTAAAAAAATCAACATTTAGTTCTCAGTCATATTAGCTACAACTGTTTTAGTCAGCTTTTTTTTTTTTTTTTTCCTGCTGTACCAAAAGACGTGACCAGAACAATTGAGGTCTCAGTTCGTAGATAGCTGACCCCATTGCTGTCGCCTAGAGGTGAGGAAGCACATCATGGTGGAAGGTGTGGCAGAGGAAAACAGGTTATAACATGGAACCAGGAAGCAGAGAAAAAGAAAGAAAGAGATAGCTGTATTCTCCAGGGACAGAAATATATACCCCAAAGGCACACCCCCAATGACCTACCTCCTCCAGCCACGTGCTACCTGTTTAAAGTTACTACTCAATTCCTATCAAGGGATTTCTCTGATTAGGTTAAAAGTCTCAATCATTTCACTACTAAACTTTCTTGCATTGTCTCACACATGAGCATTTGGGAGATAGCTCATATCTAAACCATCACAGCCTCCAAGTACTTAGTAACCAAATGTGGCTGGTAACTAGTGATATTTCTATCATTGCCAAAATTATTTTGGATATTGCTGCTGTAGCAGTATCTTCTCTATTTTTCAGACTCCTCTCTGGTTTATGTTTTAAATATCAGTGTTTTTCAGCTCTCTTTCTCTTCTACTCTCAGAGCTTCTATGATTAATTATCTGTAAGAACAACTTCCAAATTTATCAGTAGCTCAGATCTCTCCTCTTGAGATTTAGAATTTTATAGACAACAATTATTTTTTTGTTAGATATAGACAACAATCTTGACATGGCCCAAAGTAAACTCCTGACCCAGCTCATTTTGGGAATAGAGTCAAGTTCTTCCTGCCAGAGCCTTTAATAAGAGATAGGAAGTAGTTTTCTAGAAGCAAACTTTTCAGGAAGCATATTTCCACTAGCAAACTCTATTTATTTCAGTCTTTAAAAAGGGATGTAGTAGCTTAGTGGTTCAGCACTTGCCTAGCATGTGTGAGGCACTGGGTTTGATTCTCAGCACCACATATAAATAAAATAAAGGTACATTGACAATTGAAAACAATTTAAGAAAATAAAAGAAAAAAAGGGTTCAGATATGTTCAGGAAACAACAAAGAAAGGTCACACTAATAAGTACTTAATTGAATTTAATATAGCTAGATGCAACAACTGTTCTTTTCACAAGTCACTAAAACAGCTTAAAAGTATTAGAATAAGTAAATCAAAGACTAATCAAAGTAATAAACTGGGAATAAATAGGAAATAAAAGCAATTAAAATGATAACTAATGTGAAAACAACTAGCATGGCATTTAGCAAAAATTATGATTAGTGATTAAAAGCTTGTTATTGGAGTGCCTCTGAAACTGTTATTTTTATTGTTATTTGTAATGAGGATTAGAGTTATAAAACAGCACTTTCATATACTTTATTTCATTTGATCTTAATTATCTAATAAGGAAGACAATCCAACTACTAGTGCTATTCCTACTTAATATAATGCTAACAGTGAACAAAAGTTACTTGTATTGCATGGCCTGAGAAGACTTAGGTACTTAGGTTTGACCTTGTCAGTTGTCTGCATATCCTGTACCTGCCTCAGGTGAGAAACATGGTTATGTTCTTGATCATTTGTTGTTTGGTATCATACTAGAACTTCCTCTCGGAAGACATATGAGCAATACTGACATCATTAGAGTGATACATCATTGCTGCTAGAGCTTTTCTAAAGGAAAACTCTGTCAGACTGTAACTGAGTTAGGAATTAATGGTTCMGCGTAAAGGAAAAACATAAGCACTTTTTAAAGGAATTAGTTATTGAACATACACCTGAAATCTTCCAGATGTGTGTAAAAGATTGATAAGCTTCATTAGCACTTACTCATTGTCTCCGTGCCAAGCACCATTTCTATAGCTAGTGATATAAAAAATAGGAAACATTTCTACCCTAAGAAGCTTTCAATAGTTTAGTCTGCAAGAGAAACAAATTATCCTAAAATACTGTAGTATTTCCCTTTTCTGAAAGCTCCAGGGGATGGGAAGAGGGTGTAATTGAGTGATTTATCCAAGTTTAAACAATACATAGCAATGGGGACTTTTACATTATTCWGACTCAGGGTCTGATGGCAGAGGGGACTTAAATTTTGATGCAGTCTGGTGTTCCTTCTCTCCCTGCTGACTTTTTTTGTTTATTTGTTGTGGTTTTTTTTCTTGATTGATTGACTATCTTTCTCTGTAGATTCACAATGTTATGAATAAATGACAGTATTTGTTCAATGACAAATTGTAAAATCATACTTTTTGTCTAAATATTCTGGAGCAAGGATTGGCAAATGTGGCTCTTGGGCCTCCTTGAAAATGGTTGTGATCAGACTGATAGGGAACAGTAACTTTGAGTTCCACATAAATCAGATGTTATCCTAAGTAAAATTTAATTATGCTGTTTTCATAATTAAATCTATAGTACCAACTCTATTCCATAATCATTATAGTTTGAATTTCATCAGTAATCATTGCTTTTTCTCTTTTGTGTTACATACCTAACTAGAATCCTTGCTTTTACTTCCTAATTCACAAAGCCTGAAATATTTATTCTCTGGCCCTTTACAAAAAATATTGCCAACCTCTACTCTAGAATGTTACTAGCAACCTTATTTCTTATGTCCTTATATTTCACCAAAAAGAGTGAGGCAATAAGAGTGAGGCATGAACTTTAGATATGATTTAGTTCGATGGTAAGTGTTCACAGGTGGAGGTAGTGTTGGTGAGTACCATAGTGGTGGTCTGTCTTGTTGATTCCCCTCAAAGAGTGCAGAAAAGTAAGGGATGGTGTTTTGCTTTACTCAAACATCACTCATAATTATGGAGGTGGTACCATAGGGTCTTGAGAGAAGGTAATTGCTCATGAATGTGCCTTAGATTGTACCAGTACATATGTAATAAAGGTATCTGTGTGTGTCACAGGGAAAATAGAATTATGAACGGTAAGCTACCAGATGAGAAAATGTCAAGCCCTGGCTCTCATTGCCAGCTTGCCCTTGCATGTTAGCTAGAATCAGTTGTGAGACAGAGCTGCCATGTGATAACGTAGCACAACCTTGATATTCATAAACCTTGAGTGAGTAGAACAATTCAAATAAAGTTAAGAATAAATTTAGCCAGGCGCAGTGGCACACACCTGTGATCCCTTCGGCTTGGGAGGCTGAGGCAGGAGGATCATGAGTTCAAAGCCAGACTCAGCAAAAATGAGATGCTAAGCAACTCAGTGAAACCCTGTCTCTAAATAAAATACAAAATAGGGTTGGGGATGTGGCTCACTGGTTGTGTGCCCCTGAGTTCAATCCCTGGTACCGCCAAAAAAAAACTGTTCTGACTTGCATAGAAATCCTATTCACCTGTGGTCAAAGTATCACACCTGCTTGTCATATCTTCATCCTCAGTGGGCCTGAGTGCCATGGCTCTCGTAATCTTTTTCTTATTGTTTTTATTAATCCTTAATAAATAGTTGATTCTAAGTTCTCGAATGCCAGAATGTCTTATTAATAAAATAAAATTCACATTAAGTAAAGTTAAGACAAAACCAGATTTTAAGAACATGAGAATAGTTTTTTATTTTTAAAGTAGTTCAGTGSATATTCTAGTGAGTGCTAATAAGCTGCAGCATGTTTTAAATTTCATATTGAATTGGCACTATTTTATTCTTGTGTACATATTTTATGAATAGAGCACATTAAGTCCATCCCAGATTTCTTTCTCCCTCCCCTCTAATGTAACATGAAATTCCTAAGACCCCAAAGTTTGTCAGGAATTTATTTAAAGAAGAATAATGATGATCACAGTAGGCCCTAATATTTAATGAGTGCTTATTGTACCAAACACCATTCTAAACACTTCACATGTGTTCTTATTTACTTTTAAGAATTGTATTAAATCATAGGATTGAGCATGTCAAAAAAGTAAAACTAAATAAGAACATAAGGAATAGACTAATAGATTATAGATTGATTTTGGAAGACAGTTTGGCAATACAGATCTTCACCAGACCCATTATTGGTAATTTATTTGAAAGAAATAAGTACAAGTCAGTTATGGTGGTGCATTCCTATAATCCTAGCCGTGTGGTAGGGTCAGGCAGGAGAATTGGTTGAACTCAGAAGTTCAGGGCTAACCCTCATAATATAGTGATAGGTTGTCTCAAGAAAGAAGAAAGAATCCAGAAGTCGAGAGGTTGAGGCATGAAAATGTTCACTAAACCATTATATAATAACACTATTTATTATAGTGAAAAATTGATAAAAGCAAATATCCAACAATATAATAAGTGAATTCTAATATAAACATGAAGCCCTATATTATAGCCATAAAATGAAAAATATGAAGATTATAGCAAAACAGAAAAATAATGTTAAACTTATAAAATTTATTATGATTAYGATTTATTATGATTATAAAAATACCAAAGTAGTTTGAAATAATAAGTATTTTATAGTGATGATAACATAGGTAAATTTATTCTTGTTAATATCTTTAGTAATGTATATTTTAAAAATAGTAATAGGAACCAAAGATGTGTGATTGTGTGTGAAGACAATCTGTTCTGTTTAGTAGTTTTTGTATCTGTGTAGTGAAGTTTGGAAGAGGAAGAAAACTGAGTTCAGTAAAAGTAGACCTAACAAAGAAACCTCAGGAAGTTTTTCTGGTTAGATATTTCCTTTGCTTAAAACACCTTGGCAGGTAACTTTTGAACTTTCTTAACATTGCCCCAAGAATGCTTACCTTTTTTATGGTGCTTTGGCCAGAGAACTCCATTTCAGGGCCGTAATTCTAAGAAAGAGGGTGACAGGACAGTCTGCTTCAGTTTGGAATGTTCACAAATTATCTCTCTCTCAATGTGGCTTTGGACATCAGAAACTCCAAAGATGTTTAATTTTAGTAAGACCTTATTATTGCTCTTACCAAACTCAATGAGTATGGTTACAGTGAAGTGTGATTTATATTTGATATAGTAAGATATTTTATTTAGTAATAATCAAAACTAAGGACATACTTGTGATTTTTTTTCTTACTAAGAATTCTGTTTCAGGTCTTTGTCTTAGGAGATTACGTTATTTATATTAGTTATTATTTATATATTGAATATATAACATTACTATATGTTATTTACATAATTTATACACACAYGAATATGAGATTTGGCTAAACAGTAATGAAGTCACTAAAGAGCAATCAGTAATTCATGATTGACTTTAATGTTTTTGTAGAAATAAAATTTCTATCAAAATATACCTTTATTGCATCTCACTATACATTACCCTGTAATACATTTTTTAAAAATATTTATTTTTTAGTTGTAGTTGGACACAATACCTTTATTTTATTTATTTGTTTATTTTTATGTGGTGCTGAGTATTGAACCCAGGGCCTCACACGTGCTAGGCAAGCACTCTTTCACTTAGCCCCTACCCTTTAATACATTTTATCTTTTTTATTTCCTTTTTGTGGTAATAAGGAATTAATCCAGGGCCTCATGGATGTTAAGCACAGGCACTACCAATGATCTATATTTCCAATACTCATTTTGTCTTTTTACGTGAATATCCTTTCTCCTAAATTAGATAGTACTTCTTCCCAATGAAGTGGTCAGCACTGCCTCAGAATGTCTGAACTCTATAAGGCACTCAGCACCATGTTCGCTACCTATAATCATCAGAGTTCATTATTATGATCATCGTTGCTGACCTGTGTGCTTGTCCTCTACCCTTTCCACATTCTCATTCATATCTTTTTCGTCATAAATTTGTTATTACTCATGTGTGTATTGAGTATTGTGTACAAGTACTTCATGGGGAATATAGTATACCTAAAAATAAGTTGACAGCCACTGGAAGAAACAGAACACCAGTAAAATAATTTGAATATGGTATGGTGAAAGTGAGTTCTATAGAAGTTTAATCTGACAGTACAATGTTTCAACTTCTRTAAGCAACACTTAAACCCTTAGGTTTAAAAATATGACTCAGGCTTTGCCTAATCAGTTCTCCAGTTTAACATGTTTTTCTTTACCCTTGTGCAAAAGCATTCTTTGCCAGGAGGTCACAAAAAAACTTGAATTTGTTTTGAGGTACATAAATGGTTTGTAAATGTGTACATGTAAACTGATACTTWTTTTATATTTAACTAAAATTATCGTCTACCATGTGCCAAGCACTTGATCTTATTACATTCTTCCTTACTACACCTTATAATGTCTTTCTTAATTTCCATTTTGCATATCAGGATGTAGAGATTAATGGAGAATTAAATTATTTATCTAGATCCCCAGCACCAAAAAAAAAAAAAATATTGACCTAGGATCATGTTAAGAAGAAGTCCAAATCAAATGTTGTGATTCCAGTTGTCTTGCATCTTCTTCTGAGAGATGCACTTAGACAGTTTGAGCCTGGAAAACTCTGTTCCTTGACAAATGGTTGTTTGGAAAATTACTTTTTACTCTGAATGTTTTCCTTTTTAAAAAAAAATTTTTTTGTAGTGCCAGTAAGTTTGAATGTAAAAAAAAGCAGTCTTGGCATTTCCTTAGCATTTCTTTCTAGTAATTCGAGTTTTGTTTCTCCTTTCTTAGTCACCCTTACTTCAACCCCAATCCGAGGAGCAGGAGATGGAATGGAAACAGAAGAGCCACCTACATCTATTGAAACCACCTCTGGAGTCCAGTCCATAAAGCATCATATCCTTCAGAGTCCACGGAAGAAAGCAGCTCCTTCAGAGAACCCAGGAGTTCTTCAGCTGGGAAAGATTCTYTCTGAAAAGGCAGTGGAGGTAGAAGCTATAAGAATACGTGTTCCCAAAACTGCTATAACTCATGATATCCCYAACAAAAATGGAAAGGTTAAATCTCTAGGATATCATAGAGGAGAATTTCATGGTCAGCCTGAAGGAGTTATAGAACCTAGAAAGGAACTCTCGGAGGTGAAGACTGTATTGGAAAAGCTCAAGAACTCTGAAAGAAGGTTACTACAAGACAAAGAAGGTCTTTCAAACCAGCTCCGAGTACAAACAGAGGTAAGATTGGCCTGAATCACTTGAATGGGGGGCAACTTTTTACACCTGGACCTTCTAAGCCTGGATAGGAAACTACGTTTCTTCGTGGAAATGTCATTTATCATAGGTTATCATTTCTTTAAAATTTTTCCTCTTATATTTCTCATACTTTCTGAGGGCTTCTAGAGAGTTGTTATTGGGAACTTATACTAAGCCTAGTCAAAGATGGATATGTGAGGTGCTTATAAAAGTAGTTTGTAAAGGTAGGTTACAGTTATAAAGTGCCAAACCAAAGAGTGACCAAATCAATCTATAGTGCTTGATGGTGTTGCTGTGATCTTTACATCTTAGTAAAATTGCCTTAACTCTCCCTTGTTTCTCTATTGGACTGTGTCTTTTTTGCCAGATACTAGTCTTTTGACACCATAATGATTCTTGTCCAACTATATTAATGTATTTAATAATACACATAAACGTGTAAGTGTAATTTAAACACACATAATATATTTAATAATATATTTACTATATAAACACAAACTATATATTATAAATTTGGGGGGAGGGGACTGAGTCATATCCCCACTGAGCCACACTCCCAGCCCTTTTTCATTTTTTATTTTAAGAAAGGGTGTCACTAAGTTGCTTAGGGGCCATGCTGAATTTCTGAGGCAGACCTGGAACTTGTAGTTCTCCTGCCTCAGTCTCCTGAGTCGCTGGGATTACAGGCATGCACTACCACACCTGGTAATAATATATTTTAAATATGTCTTTAACCAATTTCTAAGTATAAAAGTAGTATATTCTTATTAGTTCTTAGTATTAAGATATCTGACAAAGTTTGTCAGAGTAATTCATATATTATTGAATATACAGCTCTTTCTCTTATTGATGGTCCTACAGTCTCCTGAAGTAGAGAAATGGTTGATATAAGGAACCTCTCCTTCAGAATCACTCCTGCAGTGTTTAAGACCACATCAAAACTGAACTCAGATATCTGGTAAATAATAAACATTTTTTACACTAGAGAGAAAAACAATGAAAATGGTACCACCCATAAACTACACTATCAAGATATGGCTTCAAAACTACACATATTGAATTTATTTTGTCTTGTAACCCACATTTTTTCAGTCATTATTTTCCTTGTCACAACGTTCTAATTATTATTGGTAATAGTGTTCTTCAATGGCTGCACCAATACCTATTGGACATTTGTTTTAATTGTTTTGCTTTTTTCAATAGCAATGTAAAGATTATGCTTATTGACATCCTATATTACTTCCTTTTTCTTAAACTCTTAAAAGTCTTAAGACACAAAAAGATAAACTTATAAATGTTGAAGTAAAATCCACATAAAATATACTCTCACATTTTGGGGCAAAATGTATTAGTTTAATTTTCTGATTGCATTTCCTTTATGTTGACTGGAAGCAGTTTATTTTCATGCTGAGTTGTACTTTATTATAGAGGCTCAGTTTATAACCACATTATCTACATGTAAAGATAGAGATAATGCTGTATACATTATGCATGTTAATATATAATATCAATTTTTTAAAACATTTTAAACATAGGTTGTTTATTTGTTTTAATTTTGTTATATTAAAAAGTCTGTGGGCTGGGGATGTGGCTCAAGCGGTAGCACGTTCGCCTGGCATGCACGGGTCGCTGGGTTTGATCCTCAGTACCACATAAAAATCAAAGATGTTGTGTCCACCAAAACCTGAAAAATAAATATTAAAAAATTCTCTCTCTCTCTCTCTCTCTCTCTCTCAAAAAAAAAATCTGACATTTCTTTGAGCTTATTGTATTTGTTATGTTCTTCTAGGTAAATCGTGAGTTAAAAAAGTTGTTGGTGGCTTCTGTGGGGGATGATCTTCAGTATCACTTTGAACGTCTAGCCCGTGAAAAGAATCAGCTTATTTTAGAAAATGAAGCCCTAGGTCGAAACACAGCTCAACTCTCCGAACAGTTAGAACGTATGTCCATACAATGTGATGTGTGGCGTAGTAAATTTCTCGCAAGCAGGTATTTTCTATTCTAAATAGTATTTCATTTACTAGTTTTTGTTATCAGGTTTTCAAACCATAATACAAGAAAGTAGATTATAGTACAAAAATTTCTGAGATGGTACTTCATACATCATTTAATATGTGGCTTTCACACAATCTCCCTGAATGGGAAAATAATAGAAGGATCCTTTCTCAGTCTGGAAATTGCTTCTCTTGYAGGGTTTAAGATCAAAACAAACCTGTAAATTCAGATATCTGGTAAATATTAAAACTAAAAAGACAAAACTACATTTTTTTCCACCTTCTATCTGGAGAACTCTAATATTGTTCCCACTGCCTAAGAGGACACTGYCCATGTCCTGTTCTCATAGTTCTTTTGTCTATATAAGAGAGCTTCCCAACCTTTTTCTTTCCATCATAAGTGAAAAAAAAATTACAACATTTTTATGGCATACTTCATGAGGCTACTGTCTAACAGGTAATAAACCAGGTCCGAATCTAGGTATCTAGACTGTTTGGGAAACTCTGCTATATATCTATTGACTCTTTGTTTATCCCTGTCAACTTTGAGTTACTGGGGACAAGATYTGATGTTATTCATCTCTGTATTTCTAATGCTTAGAAAAGGACTTTATATGTTTAACAATTACTGATTTAATGAATCATCTAGAAAATTTTCACAAAACACCCAAAGGTTTCCACGTTATACTTTAAGAACCACATATTTTTTCACATACTAACATCTCTCATACTTTCTAGTACTTGATTGTTCTCTTAAAGTTCTTCATTTATTTGTTTTCTAGTTGTGCTAGTATAGTATGCTATTTGAAGAAATGATTTTATTAGTATTAACTTAAATTGAAACATAGTTCTTATTAAACAGTTTAAGAGGCAAATCATGCATATGTCATACAGGTTACAGTATGTAACTTTCTTAACATCCTGATCAACACCTATGATCACATTCTAAAGACAATAAAAATTATTGATATTTTAGTTGATTTAACCTATTAATGTCAAAATTGTTTTCCTTTTAAGGAATTCAGTAATAAGTATGGTCTGAAACTTTAAATTTTAGTGTTAAATTTTCAGCTGAAACTATACTTTAAAATTTGCTTCAGTTTCATCAGTAGAGTTGGTCAAATAAAATGTAGTATTTACAATCACTAGAAAACATGAAGTTGGTTCTTMAAAACTGGAGGAAATGAGTTGGGCCAATAATCAAACCACTCAGGAGGCTACGGCAGTAGGATCACAAGKTRAGGCCAGCCTGGACAACTTAGYGAAACTCAAGTCTCAAAAGTAAAACTTTAAAAAAGGCTAGGGTTATAGCTCAGTGCATGTGCAAAGCCCTGGTTTCGATCCCCAGTGCCGCAAAAATAGAAAACTGGGAATAAGATAGTGTTACATGTGCTCATGTGGAAAAAGCTCCAAAATTAGTAAGTTAAAAAAGCAAGGTATGGTAACTTTGTATTAAATAATCCCATTTTTTAAACTGTTTATTTTTAACACATACTTTTATGTTGAARTATACATGATTTTTGGTAAAAATGTGTAAGAAACTTTTATGTTACATATAAAAGAAGGATGGTCATGCTAGGCCAGAGGAAAGACTTAGTTTTCATCTTATAGAAACCTTTTTATTTTTCTGTATTTTTCTAAGGGCAAATTATAATTGAGTAATTAAAAAAAAGCTCATTTCTTCCTCTTTAAATTTTTCTGTATTTAAAAATGTTTTATTTATTTTTCAAATATGATTAATCTGGAATAAGATTGGGGTAAATTCAAAAGTTATTGTATAGAAAAATTAAGTGTTTCCTTTGTCATTTTACAAATATTTTGACTGAATCCCTTTAATGAGCTCTAAGCTCATAAACATTTTTAAATTTTTTTAGTGAAAATTTTAAAACAAGACAGCTTGACTATGTTAAATTGTTCTTTGTTTTTGAAAATGCCAGTTACAAAGCAGTATGTTAATTTTTCTTTACAGTTTTATTATCAGAGAATTTGAATGTGAAATTTTAATCTGTTCCAGGGTAATGGCAGATGAGTTAACCAGCTCCAGAGCAGTTTTACAGCGTCACAATCGTGATGCACAAAGTGCTATACAAGATCTCCTGAGTGAACGGGAGCAGTTTCGTCAAGAAATGATAGCTACCAAGAAGTACGAAGCTTGTTTACATACTGAACTCTTCTAGTTTCTCCTGAAGTTTTTGTTGCTATGAAAGGTTTTTTTTTTTTTTTAATGTGTTTACATTTGATAACTTAACATATACTTTAAGTAGCATTTTAAAACAGATGTCTTGGGAGGTAGGAGACCGAAAATATAGACATGCTTCTTCACCTGTTCTTAATTAGGGAAATGATTATTTATACCAGTAATAGAAAAAAACATATGGAATTAAAAGCTGATTTGGATGGTAGTTTTGTAGTTTAATATAACTCTTGTTAGAAGTCAAGGAATATACCTGTCTTTCCAATGGAAGGTAATCTTTTTGAAGACTTTCTATAGGATTAGAGTTTGTTTTCAAATCCATATCCAGAACTACTCAAGTTGGTAGTCTTTAAAAAAAAAAACAACAAAGCCTTACTTAAAAATAAGCTCCTTGCCACTATATATAATTGAATTATTAACAGAATCAGTAAGTGTCAAAGAGTAAATTGTATGTGTGATTAAAAGAACAAAGCCTACTATATCAAAATATCAAAATTCGTGGGAGGCAGCTAATGTAGTGTTTAGAGGAAAATGCATAGCCTTAAATGCTTATTTTGGAAAAGAAGAAAGGTCTCATCTCCCTCAAAAAATTAAACCCAAAGTAAGCAGAAGAAAGAATACAATAAGGATGAAAGCTAAAGTGCATTTAAAAGCCAAATGTTAGTTCTTTGAAAAGATAAACTTATGGGCGCTGAGGTTGTGGCTCAGTGGTAGAATGCTTGCCTAGCATGCACGAGGCACTGGATTCCATCCTCAGCACCACGTAAATGTAAAATAAAGATATTGTGTCCACATAAAACTTCAAGAATAAATATTCAAAAAAAGAAAAACTTAAGAAACCTCTAGCAAGTTTAATTATGGTAAAAAGAGAAGATTCACATTAAATATTAGGATGACCCTGCAGGTTATATAGACATGAAAAAAAAATCATAAAAGACGATGATTACAACTCTATGTCAATAAATTCAGTAATGTAGATGAAATAGACTATTAAAGGTAACTCTAGAACATATATATATTGATCCCCAGAACTGCAAAAAAAAAAAAAGAAAAGAAAAAATATATTACCTAAATAGTCCTAATCTACTAGGTATGCATTTGTAGTTAAAAACCATCTAGTAAGGAAATAAGGGAAATTCTGGGTCTAATTGGATTCACTAGTAAATACTAGTAAACATCTAAGAAAGAAAGTTTACACAAATTCTTTCAAGTGTAAAGGAAAAAGGAAAAATTTCTAACTCATTTTATGAGACTACCATTATCTTAATACGAAAACCAAAGACATAACAAAAAAAACTATAGACTATAGACCAATACCTCTAAGGAACATAGATGTAAAAATCCTTAACAGAGATTTAGTGAATCAAATGCAATAGTATAGAAAAAGATTTGTACATTATGACAAACTAGGGTTAAGCTCAGGTATTGTAGGTTGGTTTAGCATTCAAAATCAGTGTAAACTCACCAAAAAAGAAAACCCATAGATGCACAAATCAGTAGCTCCTGTACTAAAATATAATAACTAAAAATGTACTATTTTTTGAGTGATTTTCAGATTGACAGATGCTTTTTGTTGTTAATTTATTTGACCAGACTTCCTGGTTTATTGAACTTGGAGAGAGAAAGATACAGGAGAAAGACAATGTATGATTTCAGAAATATGTTTCTCACTTATTTATTATTATGGATTTTTATATATTGTCTTCTCACTAATGTTCAGAGTTCATGTGTATCTTATGCAGATTTTTGGAGGAGCTCTTGGTCTCCTTACAGTGGGGAAGAGAGCAGACTTACTCCCCCAGTGCACAACCTCAGAGCACAGCAGAACTTGCATTAACAAATCACAATTTAGCAAAAGCATTAAATTCTCATCTTCTGGGGAATGTTGGCATTGGCAGTCAGAAAAAGATACCATCAACAGTTGAATTCTGCAGCTCCCCAGCTGAAAAAATGGCTGAAAAGGTAAAATAGTTTCATGATCTGTGGAATTTCTATTATGATCTCTGGAATTTTACCTATACCCTTACTGAAAAGCAACATGTTATAATGGAAGTACTTGGCATTGGGAGTTGGGAAGTACGGGATCTAAGCCTGATTTTCATACTAATGAGCTTGTGATCATGGAGACAATTATTTTCTCCTCTGAGCTTTAATTTTCCCTACCATAACTGCTGTATTTTGAGGAGAAAAAAAATGTAATTGTTTTGAAAGAGGTCCAGTTTTTTAATTTAGTAATCATTAGTGAGTTAAGTAGGTTACTTCTGATCTAAGAAATTATGTAATTCCCACATAAAAGCTGGGAAAGTGCTGAATAATACAGATTCAAATAATGTAGACCAAGTACCTACAGTTCTGGATGAATTCAGCACCCATGCAGCTGACCTATCAAATACTATGATCTTACAGTTCTGGGTGACAGCAAAGTTTACCTTACAACTTTAGTACCCAACTCCAGGTCCCCATGTTAGATCTTGTTATTCACTAGAATTCTTCCATTATTAAAATCTTTAACATCTTTCTCTCTGATCTGTGACTCCAATTTCTTTCTAACTCTGATTCTTCCATTTTTACTACCTGTTTCTTGATCACATCATTATTTTTATTCTCTTGATAGCTACATTTTTTTCATCTTATCGGCTCACAGCCCCAACTTCTCTTCCTTCTCTGGCTTCCCTAGACTTCATTTTCAAGGGCCTTGTTCCCTTGTCCTCCCCAGGTATACTCAGAACCCAGTCTTTTGTCAGTTTGGCTGTTTGCCTTCTTTGTTTCAGTACCCATCAGACCACTAYCTCACATTCACCAGATGACTTTGGTTCCTGATTCACAGAAGAAGGAGAGAGTATGGGCAGAAAACTGCCCCAGAGTCCCAGTTGATGTCTGGAAGCCTACATGTATGATGACCAGCATTATACTCATTTCTTTCCGAGGGAAAGGTATTCCCCCTCTGCCCCAAGCATAGTCGCTCTCTAGGCACATCAGATCCATGAACAGTTATCCCTTCTCTCTCTGTTGACTCTTTCCTTTTCAGTTAAGAATATGCCCAGGTGTCATCCATCTAAAAGACAAGTCTCTCTCAGTAGGCCCTGGGTATGGCCTCATCACCTCCCTTCACAGCCTGTTTGTCCTTGCAAGCCATCCACTTCAAAGTGTTGAAGACTCCCAGCCTCACTGTACTTAAAAAGTACTCTTACACAGGTCATGAATGCTTATTTTGTGATCATATTTTACCCAATCAAGCATTTTTTTTCCTTCAATCTCTCTTGACTTCTGTGACATTACTCTTTCTGAGCTCTTCTTTATAGACGTTCTCTACATCTGCACATTTCTGCTCATTATACAGACAGTTAAAAACGGAACAACCTCTTTTCTCCTAGCTTTTGCATTTGTATACCCCCCTAAAAAGAAGAAAAATAACCTCTTTCCTATATTCCATATCTTAGTGACTGTTCCTATTGTATATGGTATTTTCAGGATTCCATAAAACAATGCATTTAAAGGCCATAACAGTTTCTGACATACAGTAATCTCTCAACTAATGGTAGCCGTGATTTTTATTTTTTTCCTTCAGGCTCCTGTTAATTTTACCATCTTCTTAGTTCCTTCTGATTTACACACACACACACACACACACAGACACACACCCCTACACCTGCCCTGCTCCCAAGTTCCAGCTCCTGACTTACACCCTCGACTGTGTCAGTATCCCTGGCTTTTTTTTTTTTTTTAAACCTGCCTCCAGGCCATCTTGAGCTACTTTCCCAGAGGGTTGTTTTTTAAATGCCAATACAATAATCATACAGCTCCCTATCTGCCTCATTATTGAATCTAAATTTTTCATATAGTAGAGAAGAATTTTTGTAATCTTTTTTTATCCCTCCTTCTCACAGATCATTTCACAGGTTCCCCTACCACTCTGCACTTCACATTCTAGCAGTGTTGACCATTTCTCATTCCACATACTTACCCTTGTGTTCCCATCTCCCTAGACTGCTTCCCAGCACCTGACCTGTTGCCCAGCCTCTGCACCACCTGGATGAGTCAGTTTTCTCTAAGTCTCACCGGCAAGTCTAGATGTGCATTCTGCAGGCTTCCATTGCACTAGCTCTTCATTAGCTTATATTTGTTTGATTCTCCTTCCTTATCCCAAACCATGAGCTGCTTAAGGGGTAGGGAATATGTCTTTGTTTCCTCAAGGTGTGGAATCTGTTGTACATAGTAGGGACTCAACTATTTACTGAATGAATCAGTGCCTAGAACTATACTTATCACCTTTATCAAAAACATTGTTTCCTCTTTTCTACTATTTTTTGGGAAATTATGTCAATGCATACTTGGTTGCTACCAGGAACTTTTGGAGTAATGGACCATTCCCTCTTTTTTAAAGTACTTTCTTCCCTTGTTTTTTTCCTATGCTACAATTTCCTATGTTTTCTTTTATCTGACCATTCTATTTCAGAATATTGGGAATTCTCAGGGCTTGATCAAGATTCCCTTGTTCTCTTAGTCTTTTATCCCATCACATTTTCCCATTTAACAAAACTGATAACACTTCTTCCTTAGGATTTCTTGAACCTTTCAGCCCCATTACCTCAAGTTGCCATTCCCCCCACCCCTAGAGATACACACGAGAGTTTATTTGTCAGAGCTGACAAATAAAGGCACATCCYTCCATAGTGGAGAGGGGCCAGTTGCCTTTATTTTTTAATCAGATAATTGCAMTGATTTACCTTTCTGTCTTTTTCCCTTGTCTGCCCTAATGCCACCTCCTTTTCCCATCTTCCACACCATGTATAGCATGATCTTTGAAAGGGACAATGCTTAAAAATCAATCCTTGTCACTTTTAGCCTAACATCCAGAAGCATTTCTATCCATTCTGATGTCTCAGTCTCCTGTTGAATTTCTTAAGCATTTTGTTTCTCTCTAAAGATCCATAATGTAACAACATATATAGGGTATTTGGAAACTTTATTTTCTCCTCCAAATTTATAAGTAACTTTAAGCCTCTCTTCTTTGCATGTTATCTTATATTTAACTAGGTTGCGTAAAATGGAAAGATCTCGAAAACTAAATTGGAAAAGCACAGTTTATTTGAAAAATAGAGGTCCTAAAATAGAATGATGGCTTTTAAGTGATGCTGGGATATTCTTAAAGTAGCGCTGGTGTGGGTGTGGTGGTAACTTAGAAGGATAAAACAATCTTCTGGACAACATCAGAGCAGGGAAATGGGCCTCTTCAGCAATTCTTGTAAGCTCCCTTGAATAAGCCCTCCAGAGAGAAGGACTTTTCTTTGGTTGCTTTCACAATTTCCTTCCAATTGCATTGCCTACCTACTTTGAAACATAACTCATACTCATCATGTGACGATTATTGGGAGAATATGAACAAGAGATAGAAGAGCTGTGAGCCAGACGTGTTATCTTTATCCTTATAAACATGTTAGAGAAATATTTTCAATCCAAAAGTTCCTGCTTTGATTATCAGTAAAGGAGACTAAATAGGAAAAGTCAGAGTGAAGAATAGGGAGAGTGATAGTATTATGGAACCCAAGAAATGAAAACATGATTGTTAACACAAACTATTGCATGTAAGTTGGAAAAAGAGAAATGAAAAGCCATTTATTTTACAAATAAAAACTAATCRTACTGCAAAATAGCATTTGATAAAAGAATGAAAAGCAAAATCTTGATTTTAAGTAGTTGAATGAAAGATTAAAGAAGATATAGTGAACACCATTTATTTAAAGATAAAAATTGACATCACAAGGTAGAATTGATGTAAGCTCATTTTCTGTTTTTTTCTGTCAGTATTCATAAAAGAGCATTAATTTTATCATTCTTAAAAAACATGTAACAGTGTAATTAATAATAACTAGGAATTTTTGTTAAATGTATGGTTGCTGGGGGATAAGTTCTCAAATTCATCCTTCAGATGTGATTTTTATAAGAATTCCATATTAGTGAACTGGAACTTCATAGGTAGTCATACATCAGTGAAATGAAAGGCTTTTATAGTTCATACTACATACGTCTAATATTACCTCTCGTTTTCCTTAGGTTCTACGCATTTTGGATCCAGTCACCTGTACAGAAAACTCATCTGATAATCTATTTTCTCAGTCTTCACCAACCACATTACTTGCTACAAAGAAAAATATTGGACGATTTCATCCCTATACTAGATACGAAAATGTAACTTTCAATTGCTGCAATCACTGCCAGGGAGAACTTATTGTCCTTTAGTATTCCATATGTTGGAGGCATGCTTATTGTCCAAGAGTCATTTTTATTTGGGAGTTGGGTTCTTATAATACAAGGTAATGTCACTTCCTCTTTACATATCATATATCTACAAAGATATTTTATGTTCTGGACTTCAGATTATCATTTCTTAATAAATATCTCAGGGTACGAAAGCGAACCGTGTAGGTATGTTTAGAGTACAGGGTAATATCCAGGCAAACACAATGTTTATGCTAAAAGACTCAAAAAGATTTTCTACCTGTCTTTGAGGCCCAAAATTATTATTCTTATATTATTCATCATTCTGTAAGAAAATGTTTCATTTGGGTGCACTACTGCAGACAAACTAATTCCATGAGTCAAATGTCACCCCATACCCATTCATCTGCTATTGCCTAAGCTGGTTTTGAACAACAGTAGAGTAGATGCAGTAGGACTTGTAGACCCTTGATGGTTTGTTCTTTACAGAAAAAAATTTCTAAACCTTACATAAAAATAATACCTGGGAGACAGGGTGAAGAGGTTTCAATCATTTTTATGGTAATTTTGGAGGCTACAAAAGAGGCTTACAAAAATACTAAGGGTGAAGGGGCTAATGTGTGASAGTGTGTGTGTGTATGTGTGTGTGTTCATTATACAGAATGGTGGGTTTCATTGTGGCATATTTGTGCACACACACAAAAAAATTGATCTTCACACCCTAATACCTCCCTCAGCCTTATCCCCTTCCTCTACCCTACTGGTCTCATTTCATAGAGTCCCTTCTTTTCTCTGTTTCTCTGTTCCCTCACTTCCACATATGAGAGAAAACATACAGTACTTCTCTCTCCAGGTGACTTATTTTGCTCCAAATTATGGTTTCCAGTTCCATCCATTTTCCTGCATGTGATAGATTTTGTCCTCTTTTATCACTGAATAAATGTCTATTGTATGTTATGTACCACATTTTCTTTACCCATTCTCTGTTAATGTGCACTCAGGGCTATCATAATTTGACTATTGTGAATTGTGCTGCAATAAACATAGGTATGCATGTGTCTTTAAAATATGCTGACTTTAATTCTTTTGGATAAATACCAAGGAGTGGTATAGCTGGATCATATGATAAATTTTAGATTTTTGAGGAACCTAAATATTGACTTCCATAGTGGCTTTACTGATTTATGTTTCTACAGGTCACGTAAAAGAGTTCCTTTTTTCATGCATCTGCACCAACATTTATTGTTATTTGTATTCTTAAAGATCCGCATTCTAACTGGAGAAAAATGGAATCTCATCTGGTTTTGATTTGCATTTGCCTGATGGCCAAAGATGTTGAACATTTTTTTCATATATTTGTTGGCCATTTGTACTTCTTTTGAGTGGTATCTATTCAGTTCATATGTCCTTTTATTTGTTGGGTTATTTGGTTTTTTGATGTTGAATTTTGGGACCTCTTTTATATATTCTGGATATTTGTTCTTTGTTGGAAGGGTAGCTAATGAATATTTTCTCTCGTCTGTCAGTTGTCTCCTCATTCTGTTAAAATTATTTCATTTGCTGTGAAGAAGGTTTTAAATTAGAGGCCAGATCGTCTATGCTTTCTCTTATTTCACATTACAGAGATCTAATTCAGGAAGTTTTTGCCTGTGCCTGTATGTAGGAGTATTTCCTCTACATTTTCTTCTAACAGTTGGAAAGTTTCTGGTCTTATAGTTAGGTCTTTGATCCATTTTGAGTTTACTTTTGTACAGAATGAGAGGAATTGAGTTTCATACTTCTCTAAAGGGATATCCAGGGTTCTTTACACCACTTGTTAAAGAGGCTGTCTTTTCTCCAAGGTATGTTTTTTGGCACCATTATCAAGACTCAGATGAGTATATCTGTGTGGGTTTGTCTCTCTGTCTTCTAGTCTGTTCCACTGGTTCACATTGTCAGTTTTTTGCTAGTATGCTACTATTTTCATTGTTATGACTTTGTAGTATAACTTGAAATTGCAATGCCTTCTTATTGGCTTTAGGCTTGCTATAGATAGTCTTTATGATATTGAGGTAAATTACTTCTATTCCTAGTTTTTTATGGGTTTTTATTATGAAGGGTTGTTGAATTTCATTGAAGGCCTTTTCTGCATCTGTTGACATGATCATGTGATTCTATTCATGTGGTGTATTACATTTATTGATTTGTGTATGTTGAACCCTCCTAGCATCCCTGGAATGCAATGATCCTGATAATGGTGTATAATCTTCTTAATGTATAGTTTAATTCAGTTTGCTAATATTTTATTTAGGATTTTTGCAACTATGATCTATAGTTTTCTTTCCTTGAAATATCTTTATCCAGTTTGGGTATGAGGGTGATGTGAGCTTCATAGAATGAGTTTAAAAGTACATCTTCCCTTTCAGTTTCATGGAATGCTTTGAGGAGTACTGGCATTTGAAGACCTGGTGAATCCATCAGGTCCTGGTCTTTTCTTTGATGGGAAGCATTTTACTGCTTCAGTCTCATTGCTTGTAATTAGTCTGTTTAGGTTTCTGTCCTCTCTTAGGTCACACGAGTATAGAAATTTGTCCATTTCTTCTAGACTTTTTAATTTATTAGATAAATTTTAAAAATATACCCTAATTACCCTCTGGATTTCGGTTGCAAAATTTATTGTAATAGCCCTATTTTTGTTGTTAATTTTATTAATCTGGGTTTTCCGTCTGTCTTTTGATTTGTTTAGCTAGGGATTTATCAATATTATTTATTCAAAGGCCAACCCTTTGTTTCATTGACCCTATGTATTATTTTTAGTTTCTAGTTCATTAATCTCAGTTCTAATCTTTATTACTTATTTCATTAAATGAATAAATCAGTTAAGTCTTACAAGCAGACCAGATCAATACTAGGGTTGGAGGATAGGATGCAGGAAATGGAACATACAAATTAAAATAAACAACAAGCAGAATATGCAAAAGTTCTGGGGCAACATTAAAAGAACAAACTTAAGAATAGCTGGCTTTGAGGAAGGAGAGAAGATACAGACTAATGTCATGGAAACTTAGTAAGATAATAAAAAAATTCCCTAATCTTGGGAAGGACATGGATATAGAGGTATAGGAGGCATTTAGAAATTCAAATAGACACTGATTACAGATTAAGCCATAAAGCAAACCTTAGCAAATATAAACAAAAAACAATAGAAACAAAATAAACTGAAATGATATTTTGCATTTTTTTAGATCATAATAGAATGAAATGACAAGGAAAACCACAGAAACTACACAAATACATGGAGATTAAGCAATGTACTTTTGAATGATGAGTGGGTCATAGAAGAAATTAAGGGGGAAATTAACAAATACATACAATCCARCCAAGATGGAAACACAACATATGAGATTCTCTGGAATGCAAAAGTATTAAGAGAAGTTTATAGCTATAAATGTTTACATTAAAAAAAAAGATCTCAAATAAACAACCTAATGATGCATCTTATTTATACAAACAAGAACAAAATTCACCCTACAAGAGTTTTTCATTTCCAAGATTTCTGGTTTGTTGGTTTGTTTATTTTCCTCGGAATATCTCTCTTTATTGAAATGTTCTTTCATATCCTGCATTTACTCCCATAGTGCATTCTTTATATTTTCTTTTAATGTACTGATCATTTTAGTAATCAACTGAATTCCTTGATAATCCCTACACTTCRTTATCTCTGGATTTAGTTGTTGGGGAGTTTTGAACTTTTAGAGGCTTCTTACTGCCTTGTTTTTTCATGATATCTTTATCTGTGTTCCTATGTTGAATGTGCTCTCCTGTAGGGATGGCTATCTTTACCATTGTTATATGAAAGTTTCTAATGAGCTGCTTTCTCTTTATGATGTGCCTCAGGCAGGCCTTACCTCAGCCTTAAAACTCCCACTCAATGATAGAAGAGAGTAGCTATGAGTAACAGTTGACCTCCACAACAAATATATATAATACACAATAAACACTAAATGCTATATATCAGGAAAATAAAAAATATTTAGAGCCGAATTAACAAGTACTTCCACAAAACATGTTCTCATTGTTTTATGCAAGGGATTCTTCATTCTAAGTGGACACAATTTGACATGTAAAAGAAATATAACCATCGGTGCATTTTGGCAAAGGCAACACACAACAAATATCCAACTTGATTTTTATAGTATATGGTGAAGGTAGACTCTTTCTAGAACATTGTATAAACTCAAAAAGTGCAATCCTAATATATAATATATATGATAAAGTACCCTTTTATTGCCTTTTAAGTGTGTTGTGTGTGTGTATGTACACACACACACACACACACACATATACATATAAGTTGCAGAAGAGCCTGTCAGAGAAATCTTTAAAAGATAAATCTGATAAAAATATATGTTAATGTCAATTTAATTATTTATGTGTCAATCATCTGAGTTATAGTTTCAAGTGGCAGTAATTTCCCTGCCTCTTTATTGTGACTATTCCTTCCCCCCACACACATACTTCCTGAGTAATGTATGTTAGTTCATTTACTATTCTAGCTTTTACTATTTATAATTGATTCTTTGCCTTTTTGGGTTTTGTTGTTGTTTTGTGCTACCATAAATTGAACTCAGTAGTGTTTCACCACTTAGCTGCATCCCCAACCCTTTTTTGTTTTTGAGCCAGGGTCTCACTGAGTTGCAGAGGCCAACCTTGAACTTGGGATCCTTCTGCCTTAGCCTCTTGAGTAGCTGGGATTACAGGTATRCACCACCAGATCCGACTTCTTTTCCTTTTCCTTTAGGTTTACTTAATATATAGTTTTTGGAAGAAATCCTAGGGTAGAATCTTCATGATATTGGATTTGGCAGTGATTTTTCTTGGCTATGATGCCAGAAACACTGGCAACTAAAGAAAAATAAATAAATTGAACTTCATCAAAATTTAAAACTTTTGTGCATCTACAACTTGATAACTAAAAAACCAATAACCCACAAAAAAAATAGCTAGTTCTCTAAAAAAGATACAAATTGTCAGTAAATATATCAAAAGATTCTCAATGTCCCTAACCATTAAGGAATTACAAATCACTACCACTTCATATCCATCAGGATGGCTATGAACAAAAAAGGAAGATACCAAGGGCTGGTGAAGATGTGCTTTGACAGTAGGAATGTAAAATGATGCAACAGCTCCTGAAGACAGTATGGAAATTCCTCAAAAAATTAAACATAATTACCATAAGGCCTAAAATTCCACTTCTAGACAAATACACAAAAGACAAATGAACCTTTAAAACATGCTAGATGAAATAGACACAAAAGGACAAATACTATGATTCTATGTACATGAGCTCCCTAGAAAAATTTACAGAGACAGAAAGTAGAATAGAGGTTTTCAGGGACTATGGGAGTGCTGAATGGGCTTAATGGGCACAAAAAAAGATTTGGCTTAATGGGCACAAAAGTTTCAGTTTGGGATGATGGAAAGGTTCTGAGATGGACAGTGACAACATTTGCACAACAGTGTCAATGTACTTAATGCCACTGAATTATACATTTAAAAATGGTTAAAATGGTAAGCTTTATGTATATTTACCACAAGAAAAAATTTAAAAACACTTTGTTTATCTGTGTTAAAATAGTGGGACACTAATGCAGCTATTAGTTTAAGAGTGTCAATAGGAATAATACAGTGATAGTAAATAAGCTAAATGTTAAAAAGAAAAATCTCAATAACCTAACATCACATCTTAAGGAACTAGAAAAAGACAAACTTAGCCCAAAGCTAGCAGAAGGAAGGAAATTAACATTTGAGACATAGCAGAGACTAGAAAAATAAAAAAGAAATCGAAAGTTTATTCTTTGAAAAGATGCCCCAAATTAACAAGTTTATAGGGGCTGGGGTTGTGGCTCAGCGGTAGAGCACTCGCCTCTCTCATGTGAGACCCTGGGTTCGATCCTTAGCACCACAT